TCTGAAACTCAACTCCAAAGGGCACCTCTTTTAAGATGCTAATGTTGATAATCCTGACCTTTTTTTGTTGTTGATTTCCCAGACAGACTTTGGGGTGCAGCTTCTTTCATTTACTGTCTCTATATTATCCCCATCTTCTCCTTTTACCTTTCCAATCCTCCAGTGCTGTTTAACAAATTTTTAGAATCTCACTGGGAACACTAATTGTAATTTGACAAAGTTTAACTACATGTTCTATATTAATGCTTTCATTGAAGGTCATTTTATCTCTTTTCTCTGCTTGAGCTTCCTATTTTCTTACACTTTCCATGTAAATGGCATTTTCTGTTGTCTGCTAATATTCATAAATGAAGGTTTAGAGTATTCAGTGTTCCTTGTTTACTGTGTTGGCTGCTGTTGTATTCTATAGATACACACATAATTAGCCACCAACTAAATGGGCAGTTTTAAGCCCCACTGTGGAAATCTGTCCCAATTTACTTGGTGTTTTTCTACACAGACAAACACAGGGGATAATGCTATGGCCAACAACTCCACAAACAAGGCTTTCTCTGGGCCAGGTCTCATGTTTTTCAGTTTATTTCTCTGACTGCTTTCCCAGGTGCTTCTGGAAAAAGTAGTGTTGATGCTGCTAGCCAAGTGGTCCACCATCAGCAGTGGTGTGGTGGCAGTCTCCCGCAGGTCCCTCTGGCTTTGTGGCTTTATCTTCAGTGTATGGGCTCAGGTGGAGGGCTTTCTACCCACCCACCCCCGCCCTGTCCGCCCCCAAACAGCCATTCCTTCCAGATTTTGCCTCCCCAACCCAAGGGAAATTTACATGTCCTCTTGGAGTTTCCTCCTATTTTGGCCTGACTCACTGAGCAATGTTCATAAGCTGCTAGCTCCCAGTGCCTGCTTTTGATTGGGTATACATTTTTCTGTTTGTTATATATTAGTTCTGGATAATGTTCTTTGGTTTGTGGCATGAGGTTGGTATTGTTCTTAGTTTCAGTGAAACTAAAATTTTCTCTTTTTCAGAAAGGGGGTGTAATTTCTGTGGTTTGGAGGATTGCCATCATCTTTCTGGAAGCCTGTCAATATATGATTTATACTTGAAGAATCACTTAGTAAGAGAGAAAAAAAATCATGTGTAAAGAACAGAAAAATATTTCATGAAACTATTAATAATTATCAATACTGAGATATATGTATATAATCTCCACATATCCACTCCCAACATCTGTCCTGAGCTGCAAAATACATTTCTAACTGCTGTTAGACCCACAAACTTAGTAATATCTCTATCGACATTTAATGTAGATATTAAAATGGAACTTATAGTGAGAGCTGAGAGCCCAAAGAAATAGATGCCAGTAACTGTCAGGTATTAAGTAAGCTGCAACATTGCCGCTTACAAAGCAATTGGAAGAAAACAAGTTGAAGCTCTTAGCCTCTTACCCAATCACATGTAAATTAGGGTAAGTTAGTTCTTTATGAATTTTGGAAAATAACATTTTATTAGATATATCATTTGCAAATATTTCTCCCATTCTGCAGGTTGCCTTTTAGTTTTATTGATTATTTCCTTCACTGTGCAGAAACTTTATTTTGATGAAGTCCAAATAGTTTATTTTTGCTTTTGTTTCCCTTTCTTCCAGAGTCATATCTAGAAAAAAGTTGCTACAGCCCATATCAGAAAGGTTACTGCTTGTGTTCTCCTTAGGATTTTTATGGTTTCAAGTTTCACAATCAGGTCTTTAATCTATTTTGAATTTATTTTTTTGTAAGAAATGGGTCCAGTTTCATTCTTTTGCATGTTGCTGTCCAGTTTTCCCAACATCATTTGTTGAAGAGAATTTCCATTGGATATTCTTTCCTGCTTTGTTGAAGACTAATTTACTATATAGTTGTGGGTTCATTTCTGGGTTTTCTGTTTTGTTCCATTGATCTATGTGTCTATTTTTGTGCCAGTACTTTTTGATTACTACAGCTTTGTAATACAACTTGAAGTCCAGAATTGTGATGCCACCAGCTTTGCTTTGCTTTTTCAAGGTTGTTTTGGCTGTTGAGTCTTTTGTGGTTCTGTACAAATTTTAGGATTGTTTATTCTATTTCTGTGAAAAATGCTGTTGGTGTTTTGATAGGGATTGCATTACATGTGTAGATTCCTTTGGTAGTTTAGACATTTTAACAATATTTGTTCTTACAATCCATTCCATGGGCATGGAATGGTTTTCCATTTCTTTGTGTTGTCATCAATTTCTTTCAACAGTATTTTATAGTTTTCAGAGTACAGGTCTTTTACCTATTTAGTTAGGTTTATTCCTAGATACCTTACTGTTCTTGGTGAAATTGTAAATGGGATTGATTCCTTAATTTCTCTTTCTGCTGCTTCATTATTGGTGTATAGAAAAGCAATAGATTTCTGTGCACTGGTTTTGTATCCTGTGACTTTACTGAATTTATCAGTTTTAGGAGCTTTTGGGTGGCATCTTTTGTTTTTTTTATATAGAATATCATGTCATCTGCAAATAGTGAAAATTTTACTTCTTCCTTGCCAATTTGGATGCCTTTTATTTCTTTTTGTTGTCTGATTGTTGAGGCTAGAACTTCCAATACTATGTTAAATCACAGTGCTGAGAGTGGACATCCCTGTCTTGTTCCTGACCATAGAGGAAAAGTGCTCAGTTTTTCCCCTTTGAGGATGATATTAGCTGTGGGTTTTTCATATATGACCTTTATTATGTTGAGGTATGTTCCCTCTAAACCTACTTTGTTGGTTTTTTTTTTTATCATGAAAGGATGTTTTACTTTGTCAAATGCTTTTTGTTTTGTTTTGCATCTAGTGAAATAATCTTATGGTTCTTATCCTTTCTTTTATTAATGTGGTATATTATGTTAATTGATTTCGAATATTGAGCCACCCTTGTAACCCAGGAATAAATCCCACTTGATCGTGGTGAGTGATTTAAAGAACTTATAAAACTCAACACCTGAAAAACAAATAACCCAATTAAAAAATGGGCAGAAGACATGAGTTTTTTCAAAGAAGACACAGATGGCCAACAGACCCATGAAAAGATGCTCAACGTCACTGATCATTAGGGAAATACAAATCAAAACAACAAGGAAATATCACCTCACAACTGTCAGAATGCCTAAAATCAACAACACGAGGAACAACAGGTGCTGGCAAGGATGTGGAGACCGGAACCCTCTTACACTCCTGGTGGGAATGCAGATGGTGCAGCCACTCTAGAAAGCAGCATGGAGTTTCCTCAGAAAGTTAAAAATAGAGCTACCCTATGACCCAGCAATTGCACTACTAGGTATTTACAAAAAAAAAAAAAATCAAAGGGATACATGTACCCCATTGTTTCAGCAGCATTATCTACTATAGCCAAATTATGGAAACAGTCCAAGTGCCCATCAACTGATGAATGGATAAAGAAGATGTAGTATATATGTATTATATATTTATTCGGCCATAAAGAAGAATGAAATCTTGCCATTTGCCACAACATGGATGGAACTAGAGGGTATTATGCTAAGCAAAATAAGTCAGAGAAAGACAAATACCATATGATTTCACTCATATGTTGAATTTAAAAAACAAAAGAAGTGAGCAAAGGGGAGAAAAAGAGGAGGCAAACCAAGAAAGAGACTCTTAACTATAAAGAACAAACTGATGGTTACCAGAGGGGAGGTGGGGGGGGGGATGGGTGAAACAGGTGATGAGGATTAAGGAGTGCACTTGTGATGAGCCCTGGGTGATGCATGAAAGTGCTGAATCACTATATTGCACATCTGAAACTGTTACACTGTATGTTAACTAACTGGAATTTAAATAAAAACGTTAAAAGAATTAAGTGAAGTTGGAGATAGAAGAGGATTTTTAGAACAAGTTCTGTGTGGCAGAGGTGTGGGAGTGCTTTTGTCTCATGTCAAGCCTAGGGAAAGAGGCTTAAGAGGTACCACTCAGATTTTCAGTTTGCATCTCTTGGAACGCTGGGGACACAGAGAACTGACATCTGCCTCATTTGTGATAAGGGGCCTTTGAGCTAGCTGTTCTATGCAGAAGTTGTCACACTGAAGGTAATCTGTCCTTCTACTATCTGTTGAGGCAAAGAATGCTTGAGTTGTTCCAGTGGCGAGATTTGGGTCACATGTGAGAGTTTTCTCTTACCTGCTTAAGTAGGCATCTGGAGTGGTACGGGTCCCAGCAGAATAAAGGCATATGAGGTGTACTGAGAAAAGAGTTGTAACCAACCAGTTCAAGAACATGTTTCCACTCAGTCCAAGGGAACTGCAAAATGGGACCTTTATGAGTATTATCCCCACTGCAACCCTTCTCCCTGCTCCCCTTTCATTTCTGATCCCCTTTACTTTAAGGTGACCTGAAAAGTCATGGAGGCTGCAAAAGATTTTATTCAAATGCCTTGATGGTTTTGAAGGGGTAAGCTTCTGATTACATTGACAAACCAAGCACATTGCTGTTAAAAGCACTCGTTTTCTTTTCCTCGCTTACAGCACATCCCCTCCTGTCAAAATCCTGACTATCCTTTAGATGGACTTGTTGGAACTGTTTCTTCTACAGTATCACAGGCAATTCAAGTCCAGAGCCTATATCCAATAGCCCTCATTCCCAGCATGTAATACAGTATATAACACATATTAAGCACTTCATAAATGTTTGATGAGTGAAGGAATGAATAAATGATAGGACTTCTTGAGCAGATGGAGGGACAAGCTGTTTATTCTAAAGTATGTGGGAATTTAAATTATATAAGTAAAATGAATGGGTGTATGTCATTTATTGAATACCCAGTAAAGGTCCAATCAATTTTTCTTGAATGAATGAATGAATGCTAACATAAATAAATGTGAAAAATGGCTACATATACATAGGCAAGGTTAAAAGAGAAAACACAATTTTGTTGGTTTGTTTATTCATCTATATGTAGATATAGATATAAATAAAATGATTTGCACATTGGCTGTTTTTTTTTCTTTTTTTCCAGGTGATCCTTGTATTTGTACTAAGCATTGGGTCTCTAATAATCTATTTCATCAACTCTTCTGAGTGAGTAAATTCCCCAGTCACCCTTGTCTGCTATGTCAGTAGGTTGCCAGCTAATTTGGAATTTTCTGTCAGGAATAATGCTTAACATGCTTTTAGACATACCCCCACACCAACTCATAAAAAAGGGTAAGTGTTCCCCACCCAAGAAGCACTACACCCAATTCCACAAAAAAATGCACAAGTTTCCCCTGTATCCTGTCATCATGAATTGCTAGGGGCTGTGGTGCTGTACACAGGTCTATTCTAGAGTCTCAGAGGAGAAGCCTCCAGCTGTGGTCTCTACCCTTGGTCTCCACTGAGGAGGGTGTTCTATGCCTTTGGAGTCCTTAAGTGTTGAAAGAGAAGTTCTTTAGTTGTTTCAGAGTTTCTCATAGGTTTCAAACAACTTTGGATGGTTTTGAGAAAGGAAAATGCTAGACCTCACTTGGGGTAAAGGAGCACATTATTGTCTGCTCTTCTCTAAAGCCATTCTCTTCTATGCCCAAGCTAGAACAGTTTCTTGGACACAACCCAATCTAATCTGAACTCCACACTGATCAGCTAGCTAGGAATTACATTGGATTTCCAGCTGAAGTAAAATTGGGATTACAGGGCCACTGAAGTCAGGCTATTTTAGAAAGACTAGGGAAACTAACAGTCTTTGTTTTGTGAACTCCTTACTGATCTTTTAGGAAATTTTCCTTAAATTTGGATCAGATCAATCCATTTGACTTAGAGTAGCTCTGTATCAGAGGGGTATAGAAGCCAAAATGTCCTGGCCAGGTAGATGGTTTTGCAAACCAAGAGGAGCCAAGTGTCTTGGACTAACCAATCATGGTGAATAAATAGAACACTGACTACTCTTTCTCTTCATTTGGTCTTGTATAGTCAGAGCTTTTAAAATGTACATCTTTATACATTGCTCTTGTTTCTTTTCCAGCCCTGTTGGAAGCTGTTCTTCATATGAAGACAAAACCATCCCTGTTGATTTGACTTTCAATGTGTTCTTTAGTTTCTATTTTGGGTTGAGAGTAAGTATCTATGGAAAGAGGGAGTAAACAGATGAACACAACAGGTGTCACTCAAAGAGGTCTATGTGTGTCTTCATTGTACTATCTGCCTATGTTTTCAGGCTTTAAAACTAGAGGGTCTGTGCCCTAAATTGTCCAATGTATAAAGAGGCATGAAAACTCTCTCTTGCCCTTGAAACTGTATCTTGGCCAAAAATCCCAATGCAAATGAAAATGATTCCTTTTTAAATATCATCACCCTGTCACGCTGTCCTCCTTATTGGCTTCCCACCTACCACCGAGAAAGCTTTGCTAATAACCACAAGCTAGCAAACCTGAGTAATAGCCTCTGAAAATGTCATTGGTTCCACTGATGGCATACGTGCTGTATAACTGTATAAAATATTTGCATATCTTTGTTTCATTTTTGTTATACTCATTTATTAAATAGTTCTCTCATTCCACAGGAATTTATTGAGGATCCATCCTAGATCTAGATTTCATTGTATTTATCCATCCCATGTTTATTGGAGAGACTGTATATGTGTGTGTGTGTGTGTGTGTGTATAGACACATGCAAGTGTATATATGTATGTATATGTGTATATAGACATATATAATGTGTGTGTGTATGCTCTGTATTTTTATGACCTTCCTTCAAAACTTAACTCAGACCACACTGACCATCAAAATCTTTTTAGAGTAACCTCCCTCTGGAAATGCTTACTTTCTTAATCTAAATAGGGAAGCTCCGACACGGGGTTTGGCCAGCCAACTTTCTAGATAGTTGTGCTTTTTCCATTGAAGGCCATCCTAAATCTTCACTGCTCACAAACAGGAGGCTTTATCTAGGCAATTATATAAATCAGAGAGTTCTAGGAGCAGAAGGAGGGTCAGAGTGTTTATTCTGAAGTGTGAGAGTTAAGATCTGGTGAGTAAAATGGGTTCATGTTCATTTATTGAACACCCACTAAATGTATCTTTCTAATAGAATGAGATCAAAGCTTCACTGGATGAGTGAAATGTCGCTGAATAAAGCCACTCATGTTCATTTTAAAATTGTCGAGGGTAACAGAATTTGGAGTCTTTTGTTTCTATTTCATAGTTTGTGGCAGCCGATGACAAGATCAAGTTCTGGTTGGAGATGAATTCAATTGTAGACATCTTTACCATTCCACCAACCTTTATTTCTTATTATTTGAAGAGTAATTGGCTAGGTAAGTGTGCTGTGGGAATCAGGAGCAATTTCTAAAAAAAAATCTTCCACATTCACTCATAAGAACCCTTCATTTTCCTTTAAAGCCTAAATGCCATTTAAAAAAATTTATCGTCATGATTATATGGTTTTGTAATATATTTTCAGAACTTATTTTTTTTAAACTCAGTACCTGGTGATATACCTGATACAGAGTAGGTGACAGTAGCTGTTTATTGTTTATGGACTGACTCATCCACAACCTGAGAGGCAAGGCCCAATCATCCCATCCCCCTGCAGCCCCTCTATGCTGGAATCCCACAGGGACTGGAAGATGAAAAACCTCCCTGGGTCTTTAAAAGCTCTAAATCATCCTTTCCAGACAGGCTGTTAAAGATTTATTTAATTATTTTGTTTTTAATGTGGATGCATGGACAGCACGTGAGCATTATGTGGCTTTTATCAGTTTTTATGGAATTTTATATTATTATCTATTACCTATCAAATATTCCTTTCGGTCCCAATTCTCAAACTATGTAAAATAAAACATCATGCAAAAACTGAAGAGCAGATCGCAGAGATTCTGCAGTCAGGAGTTTAAGTGGTTTATGAGTAATTGCCTGTTCTAAAGAGGAGTTCAATAGAGTAAAATGTTAAGTAATGTTTATTATACGTGAGCTATGCTTCCTCAGGCTTTATATTATTAGCTCAACAGCCCTATGAGGTAGGGACTTATAATTCCCATTTTGCAGATGAGGAACTACAGAAGTTAAGGGAACTGCTTTAGATTACAATAGCTGTTTAATGTCAGGGCCAGGATTTGAACTAGAGGTCATGCTCTTAAACTTCTGGTGTGTTGTATTTGAGCATCTCTAGGAGAGGAAGAGTAGAAATAGTCCCAACGGTGTTATAACACAGAGTGCTCCCTGAAGTGACCCTCTCCTTTTGGCAGATTTCTCCTTTTGATTGCTTTGTAGGTTTACGGTTCTTAAGAGCTTTGCGGCTGCTAGAACTCCCTCAAATCCTGCAAATTCTCCGAGCCATCAGAACCAGGTAAATGCTAGCCCTGCCTTAAGTCCTGCTTACTTCCTGGTTTGGATTAGGAAATTAAAATGTAAACTGAACCTTCAACTCATTTCCCATCAGAATTTCAGTGCAAATCCCGTGAAATCCCTTAGCTCCCACGATACTATTCACTCACTCACTCTCATTGTATTAACATCATACGCTGGCTGAGAACTTTGCCATCACTTGAAAGAGTTTGTTTCTTCTTTGTTTTGCAGAGCTATGATGTACAAGTCCATTTAGACTTTAATTCTGCCTCTCCCCTCAAAAAAATTTTAAAAGTAATTCAGAGGCTTTGGTTCTACATACTTGCTATCATGAATCACATCTCTTCTGTCTAGGAATGTAAGACCAATTTCTCTGAGCATGAGGTACCCAGTAGCAGCCGTGAAACTGCTTACAAAAACAGAGCCACCTAAATGTCTCCAAAAAAAATCCAAACTATCTTGAGCAGCAATACTTCTAAAGTTTTAAGCAGTTTGGTTTAATGTTACCCACTGAAAATCTCCATGTCTCTATGTTCTCCCTAGAAGCATCAAATTTTATAGGCCATTGGATTTCACTGCTAAGTGTTCATGGTTTATGGAGCAGTCGGGACTGGGCTGTTCTTGTGTAACAGGTGGCCCTACCTGAAAACCATAGAAATTTCAGCTAAACTCTAGAGCTTTACTTAGGAAACAGGAGCTTATCTGATCCCCTTCACTCAAAGATCCTGGTATGAGTTTAGCAATATAAGTCATTTCTGCGATCTACTCAAAATTCCATTTTGCAAACCCATTCTCTGGATTCCTAGGATACTGCACTTTGTACAGTTACTTTAGGCAATGTAGAAATCTATCAAATTGATTCTATGATGATACACTTACATTTTTAAAAATAATCTAATATCAGGCTAGTGAATGTCATAGCAACTTGTAAAGATTTTGAACAAGGGCGCCTGGGTGGCTCAGATGGTTAAGCGTCTGCCTTCGCCTCAGGTCATGATCCCAGGGTTCTGGGATCGAGTCCCGCATCAGGCTCCCTGCTCCTTGGGAGCCTGCTTCTCCCTCTGCCCCTCTCTCTCTCTCTCTCTCTGTCTCTCATGAATAAATAAATAAAAAGTTTAAAAAAAAAAGATTTTGAACAAGTGTGTGTCACTGGCTATGTTAAGAGCTGGCCATCTCTGATCTAATGTGTATATGAATCAAATAGAGGATGTAGATCTATAGATCAGGGGGTGGGTCTGGGATCCTGCATTTCTAATAATGCTCCCAGGTAAGCGTACCATTGCTTCTGGCACAGAAGAGTAGCCAGATTTTAGAGGATAGGGTATTGTGTTTTTCTGGAACCTGTCAGAACCCGACAGTTTTTTGTCTTTCTTCCTCTAGCAATGCAGTGAAGTTTTCCAAACTGTTATCAATAGTCCTCAGTACCTGGTTCACTGCTGCAGGTTTCATTCATCTGGTAAGCATCTCATCAAACTCTCTAATCTTGCTGGTCAACATGAACATCTTTTCTTTTAAAAATTCAGCCAAACCTTCTGAACTCCTGTCTCACTGTGTGAGGTTTATCATTTTACTCCCCCTTTGTGGGTCTTCTGCACCCCCATATTTTCACAAATACATATTTCCTGCACTCAGGATATCTGTGGTCCTTCTTTCAACTTTCAAAACTTGCTCTCAGGAACGGATCTAACAAGCTTACCCTTCAAAAGAATAAGCAATAGATGAATCTTATTGCTATATCTTCATAGAGGTCTCAGCATTTTACAAAAAAATAAAAAGTCAAAGAAATGAAGGCAGTGAGAGATTTTAACACTGATGAAGCTGGAGAGTTGTGGGAGAGGAATTGGTGAGTAGCTAAGGGGAGCTTTGGGATTTTTTTAGTTCTCCTGAAGTCTGTCTGCATATATAGCTGCCTCCTTTGCCTGTAGGAAAGGCTCATTCTTATCTCACGTAATCAGCTTTATGATAAATAGATTTCAACAATAAGGAACAAACACCTGGACTTTATTGCTTGAGGACAGTTGAGAAGCAGTCATTAAAAATGCAGAAATTGAAGTAGGATCTTAAAAACAGAGGTCTTTGAGGAAAACAAAACAAAACAAAAAATACAGCAGGCATCTTTTCCCTTGAGTCCTTATTTCAAAATTAATTAAAACATTAACAATAAAAAAGAAAAAAATTTGAAGTTACCATCTTTAGCTGAAAGCAAAATGTCAAACACCAAATGCAAACCATGATATGAACATTTAAAGAAATCTAAAACCAGCCGCATCCCTCCTTAGTCCTCAAGCAGGAGAGAAATTGCCCTGAGAGAAGATCACAGCAATACAAGCAGATTCTGGATCTAGAGTATTGCACCTGGGTGCATGGGCCCACCATGGGAGCAGCAATCATCAGTGTGCTTCTGAAGACCTGTTGGTAATCACAGGATGGTAGACAAGAGAGTGCTACAAAAGAAACCATGGTAACGGGAAGTTTTCATCTTCAGTGGCAGTTCTAATGAAGGGCTCTTGGGCTGAATGTGGCCCATCAACATATTTTATTTGACCTAATTAGTTTGTATTTTCTGTTCTATTTTTTTATTGCTTGCTCACTTTTATGGTGAGCTCACATAAAATCTCAGATTTCTGGATTCTTTGGGAAAATACAAAGTTCTGGCAATCCATTCTCCCAAGGCCACCAATAGCAGCTAGTGGAAGACTAGCTGCTCCCTGTTAATAGCATGTGCTCTTGAGTTAGAAACAGTTTCAACCAGGCTCACTTGAATCAAAGTCTCTTGCTTGAACTTTCTAAACATGTGAACACGTGCCCTTGTTGGGCTTCTAGTCACCCAAGTGAGGAGACCTTCAATGACGGATGCATGTAGAGAAAGATGGAGAAGCAACCAGATGGCTTGTGATGTAAGGGGATCCACTGTAAGTCACCCCAACATTTGTTGAAAACCTATAAGAGCTAGATCCCAAAGCAAAGAAAGTGGCAGATTTTCTTGGGGAAGGATATTTGGAATGACAAATCAAAATGAAAGCTATAATTGTCCCAGCTCACCATCTTCACATATACTTATTGGCCTTCAGCTAAAAGTTGATATGATTAAAAGGTGAGTATTAACCAGAAAGAAATCAGGATGGTGCCCATGCTTAAATTCTGCCAAAAATAGTAAGGAGGTGTGGTAGAGAATAGAGAGACATCAGTATATAACAACAGTTCTTTAATGTAATAGAAGAATAACAATTACAAGATAATTTGTCCAAGTAAACAAAGGAAAAGTTAAGAAACAAAGCACATCCATATTTGACAAAAAATGCAAATAAAAGGCTTTAAAACCTAAAAATACTAATTTAAACAAAATATATAAGGTTTAAAATAAAGGATTATTAATCAGCAGCAGGAGTTGGAAAAATGGACTGAGTGATATCAGAAAAAAAGGAAAAAGTATTACTAGAGCTGAAAACTACATTAGAGAGAACCAAAATGTAATCAGTGTGACAGAAACATGCTCAGGAACATGGTGGACAAGTTTGCGGCAAAAACATTGACATGGAAAAGAACAAAGGTACTCCAAGCAATGTTGATTGAACAAACTATAAAATTAGTGTTCCTAAAGAAAAGAACACGACAAATGGCACCAGAAAAATGCTTTAAAATAAAAATATAAATAAATATAAATAAATAAACAAAAATATATAAAATATATGTTTATATATAAACATATTATATATAAAAATATATAAATAAAAATAAAATCTGTAGGTTAAAGGGTGCACTGTATCCCAGGGAAAATGACCCTGAATTATATATTCCAATCATATTCTGGAGCAGTTTACTGACCTTTAAGAATAAGGAGAGAATCCAAGCAGAAGAAAGCAAAGTCTATATAAGAGGGACTCATGAAAGCAGCCTCAAATTTCTTGTCAACATCAATCAATACCAAAGGTGATAGAGTAGGGTCTGCAAAGTTGTGTGAAAGTATAGCCTATCCTGCCATTTTAAGTACTCAAGAGAAAATAGCACCCATGGGTCCCTTTTAAAAATGTATCTTTATATAAAATGCAGCCCCATAGGAGATGAATCAAAACCGGGAGCTCAGGAAAGAGGAAACCATGATATAAAGTAGAGGTGGTGATTATTGAATGAATTAGAAGTAGATTAAGATATAACTGAGGGAATTATGGTTGCAGACTTCACACACATGTACAATATAAAGATAACATAACTTGTGCAAATGGTGGGGAGGTAAAGAGGAGATGGGAGAGCATCCTTGTGTCCTCCTCTATAGCATTTATTATTCAAACAACGTGAAGTTTTAAAACATAGCATTTCAGTTTTGAAAGATGGAGTTAAAAATAGAAAATAATTCAGTATCTTGACATTGGTCCATAGTCCTTTACCTTAACTTAGTTTATTTCCCATCTGGGACTGATGGGTCTATGCTTACATGGTTAGAAGGAAGAGCAGAGTGGACAAGTAGGCCAGCAGGAGGCTGCCAAATCTGGGAGAGGTGCTGGGAGGGAAAGAGGGGAGGAGGATGAAACACTAAATACTCCCAAAGAGAGTGAGCTAAACCTTAAAGCATGATTTAACTTGTGAAGGAGAATTCCAGGTTGAAATAAATTTAGTTTTTGTTTATATAAAATGTTGGGCCAGGATAGGATTGAATCCCTGTCCTGAGATGATGCTATAAAAGACACTGTGGGGTTTTAGCTTGAAACTATCTCAAGCAACTCTTTTAATCCTGGGGAGATATATATGACTCAAATACATATATATGACTTAATCTGTGTGGTTTAAACTGGTTTTCTTATAATATACTAGTCTCAGAAAACAGTGAAGACTACAGAAGTTAGTGGAAGCAGGTTAGTAGACTTTGCAACAAAATCCACTGCCAGCCATGGGAGTTAAATACAGATGTATGATCCCTTTCTTATTTTGGTGTAGGTATTATAGGAGTCCATACCCTTAACCTACTCATCAAACTTAAGAAAAGGTCACTTTTAGGGTACCTGCATGGCTAAGTCAATTAAGCATCTCACTTCAGCTCAGGTCATGATTTCAGGGTCCTGGGATCATAAACCCCAGGTTGGGCTCCCCACTGAGTGGGGAGTCTGCTTCTCCATCTCCCTGTGCCCCTCCCCCATTCCCGCTCTCTCTCTTTCTCTCAAATAAATAAATAAAATCTTAAAAAAAAACTTAAGAAAAGGTCACTTTTAAAAAGTGATCAAATACCTGAATGAACAATGTTATTTCTAATTTCTGTTTCAGTTCTTAACACTGAAACAAAAAACCTACTTTCCTCAGGCATCTCTAACATTTTATCATTTTTGTGCTAAATAGAAATGGAAAACATAGGAAATATGTAGCTATTTGGAAAAAAAGTCTAAAAATGGAAAAAGGAAATTGTATACATTATATAGTTATTATGTATGATATATATCATATTTATAAGTTTATGTATATACTATAAATACGAAGTATAGTGTCATTGCCTAAGTTACTCATTTTATTTAATATAAAAAAGATAATCTAATAAATTTAGTTTTCTTAAAATGTGAAGACTTAGGGAGAAATCGGAGGAAATATTCTTCAGAGTTTTTTTTAATCACTGAAAAGTTTTTTTTTTTGGAGGTGGAAAATAACCTGGAAAAATTTTTTGTTTGCTTTTCCTTAGACACTAGCCTTCATGTGCTTAAGCTCATTGAAATGAAGTGCTCATGTAAGTGCTTCTTCTTTTTTTTTTAAGTGCTTCTTTTTTAATGATAATCCTGAGCTAGTGGAAAATGATAATAAATAATAATTGCTCAATCTGAGAGCCTTTGGAATCTCCTGACTCTTGGATGCTATGATTTGCCCAAATGAAGAGAAAGGGATATAGGCAGCCAGTCCCCTAGTGGAGAACTGCAAATGTGGGCTCAAGCTACATGTCACCACAGAGTTCAGCAGTAATCACAATGAAGGAACACAAGACTTCACAATCACTACCCACACTTCGCAAACCCTTTAGTGCAACCTGGGAATCACTTAATACTTCGTTTGGATTGAATTAAGTGAAACTAGTCCAGTGTTTTGCCTATTCTTTATAAACTTGCCCTTGGATTCCATTCAGAGAACTTTCCTGAATCTTCTCTCTTTGGACAGGTGGAAAATTCTGGTGATCCCTGGCTCAAAGGTAGAAATTCACAGAATATATCATATTTTGAGTCTATTTACCTGGTCATGGCAACAACGTCAACTGTTGGCTTTGGAGATGTGGTAGCCAAGACATCCCTAGGACGGACCTTCATCATGTTTTTCACTCTGGGGAGTTTGGTGAAGAATATTTTTAATATCTTTGAATATAGCTACATAAACCAAAAACATATAGTTAATGGTGAGAAATAAAACAATATAGGTTTGAAAGTGAATGTTGCATTGTTCAGAGCAGGTGTCAAATGAAAATGGAAAGATATTTAGAGCCCATATTTTCCAAACTGCATCCCCTGGGGCTCATGACATAATTGCTTGATTGCCAAGGATGAGGATGGCAGACGAAGGAGAGCAGACTTTCCTTATTAGCCTCTACATTGAATTGAGCAACCCTATATTCTGTTATCTTTGGCCATCAGACTAAAGTCTTTCTTCCAAAGAGAAAGAAGGGCATTTGAGATTTGATTTGAAGAAAATTCTGTTCTTTCCAGACCAAATGAGTAAGCTGTCTCTGAACTAGCATTCTATTTCAGATATGTGAACATCTGTACTTGGTTCAGGAGTGTGTCATGGTCAAAGGAAACCTCCTTTTCTTTTAGTGACTTTAATTTCAATCCCTTAAAAACCACTAACAGAATTCTACCTTACTGATATTCCTCTGTCCATATTGTTACATCCCCTTATTTCATTCATTTTTCCTGAACCCCTTTCTGTCCCACATGCTTTATTTTTTTCTAAGGCCTCAAGTAGTACCAACTCAAAGAGTCTGAAAGGCAGTTAGATGTGACTACAGGACAAAATAGGCAGGAAGGTTGCCTTACTGCTTGTCTTTGCTTTCATCATTTTGAATGTTGCAAAGCATTTTATTTAATTTAAACCAAATCCGAAGGTTGAAGTAAGGAAGAAAAAATGGTCTGCCTTTTAAAAACAGTTCACAGTCACACCCCTCCTGGATAAGAGAAAGTTTTATGTACCTTCTCCTTTATAATCAGAATTTTGGACTACCCTTGAAAATAAAGACACCTAAGATTTTATTTGCTGATCGTTTTAGATCCTATTTGCAAATTATATCCCTGAAATGGTGGAACTTTTTGCTAACAAGAGGAAATATACCAGTTCCTATGAAGTAGTCAAAGGGAAGAAGTAAGTATAGCTTTCAGGTACAATTTCTACAGTTTGAGAAATCCTACTAGTCACATAACCCTTTCTAAACACCTATCATCTGGCATAGGTGAATATATTGGCAAGTCCTTCATTCAGCTAAGAGGGTTGCACTAAAATAAATACCACAAGAAAATATTTGCTATTTGATAATCTCTGCTATATAGATGCTTAGCCCTTAGTAAGTCAACTAAAATGACAGATAATGTTGTCATTCCTTGTCAAGTATTGATTGTAGCAATACTTCTACATCTCTTACCACTAACTCTTCTCTTACATCTATTCCTAACTGTCCTATTCATTTTAATCATATGGTTAACTTATGGCTAACTTCACATAATAGATCAAATTAAAACCACAGTTCAAATTTAAAATAATGACTTCAATTCTGTTGTGTTGGCCCAAATCTCCCTACGCCATATGGGAGCTCATTCACAGACAGAGGTTTGCTAGGGGGAAGAGCAATTTCCACATCTTCTACAACACTTCATAGATCACCTGTTTTGTCCATGTCACAGATACCTGTTCCAGAAGGGAGACAGTGTTGGTGTTGTTTTTTTACCCTATTTCTCTGTGATGTGTTACTTCAGTTTCCATTATGGTTTTCACATCTAAGAAGGAGAGATTGGATTGGAGATCTTAAATTTGAAGCAATTATTTTTTATTTGGTCTCCATCTGCTATAGAGGAAACAGGTACAGTGAAGACAAACTGTCTTGGAGTGGTCTCAGCACAATTGGAAGAAGGATTGACCTAGGAGTCTGAAGGAGAAAGTAGAAATAATAATAATAATAATAATGAAATGAGTGAAAAACAAATATTGAAAACAATGAAATGAACTAGATAAGCCAAAGTCTGATCCAATTTATCACAGGAAAGGAATGCGGAACACATGCCAAAGTAGCCCAAACGGTCTGGAAAATTTAAGGTTAAATTAAGCTAAAAGTACACTTTCGGTTTCCTTAAATGAGTAATAGAGGGAAAAATAGCTTCTTTAAATGCATGAAACTCAAGGAAATTGACAACTATTTTTCACTGTAAAAGTTACGTGCATAGATTTTTGCACCTGTCCCAGATGTCTCTCCATTAGACTCACTTTTTTGTAGGGACTAGATAATTTTTGATGTGGAAGAAAAACCAAAATAACCTAGAATATATTGCCACTCTGCCGTACTGTTTGAGAAAATCATGCTGAGCCTCTGTTTTTCCTTTGAAAAAAGACTAGATCAATCAGGAATCAGGTGAAAAATTCAAGTGAAATAACACATGCGCCAGTCCCTTATAATGTTATAATAACTATGAAAAACATAACACTTATGATAGTTATTATGGTATTCCTGAAAATCTATGTGTAATTCAAATGTTTGGATTCATACCCAACATGGGATGAATTGGGACTACAGAAATTTGATGTTTCTTCTCTTTATTGGAGTTGCGATCTTCAGTGTTTCTATTTTTAAAACCTGGGTAGTTCAAATACCAGATTGATTTAAAACTAAGTTTAAGCAAATTGTCCATCTCTAAATCTTGACAGGAAGATACTTCTGTTCCTCAGATGATCCACCTCACGTAGTCTTGTTCCCTAGGTTCATTGTGGTCTGTGGAAACATTACAGTTGACAGCGTGACTGCATTCCTGAGGAATTTTCTCCGCCATAAGTCAGGGGAAATCAACATCGAGATTGTTTTTCTGGGAGAGTAAGTGTATCTGTATGGTTCATGAGCTCTAAATTAATCCTTGAAATATGTATGCATTTTTTAAATGGAAGAAAATAACCTTTGCAATATTCATAGAAAAATTAGGAAATAATAATAAGCAAAAAGAAAAGAAAAAGCAATCTTAAAAACCAGAGTTAATCTCAGAGAATATTTTGGAATATATCTTGCCTGATATTTTTATGTATATGTCCTAACATTGTTTAAAAGATTTCCTATCATTTAGAAAAGTATTCTGCATTTGTTGTTATTACATATGACCATAATTTTGTGCATAAGTCTGGTGCACTTTATAATTATTATTCTGTTAATTCTCAGAATTGGAAGTGTGAGTTCAAACAGAAGCAGAAAGGATTGTTTTTGATGATGTTTTTGTTCTGTGAAGCTTACATTTCCACAAGTAGGGTCCAGGTCAACTATTTTGTGAAACACTGGAAAATGCTTACTTAAAATGATTTTTAAGTAGGCTAAATTGTTTTCTTGTTTTATTGTACAATTTTGGTTCGTAGTGAGATTGAACAATTTTTATATGGTCTGATGGTTTCCTTTTTGCTTTTCCTTCCAACAATTTTGTTTCCTAGTGAGACTGAACAATTTTTGTATGTTTTGACCATTTTCTTTTCCTTTTTTGAGGAATGAAGGAATTCGTCTTTTCATTTCTATCTTCTCTATGAGGATGGTCATCTGTTGCTTTACTGACTTCTAAGCAGTCTTAATATGTTTTGATATTAGCTTTTTTGTGTCATGTGTTGTAAAGATTTTTCTCTCTTTGCCTTTGTGTGTGTGTGTGTGTGTGCACATGTGCTTTATTTTAATACAGAGCATTGGATTTACATGCACTATAATCCATCGGCTCTTTCATTATGGCATCTGGCTTTTATGGCATTTTTGGCCTCTCTGTTTTAGAATTAAGCAAATATTCCTCTGGCACTTTTATGTTTTCATATTGAAATATTTTATATTTAAGCTCTCTGGAATTGATTTTGTGTAAAGGGTAGTGAACTACCTTCTTCATTTTGTCTGAAAGGCTCTTCAGTCATCCACATGTCACTAAATAAGTCAGATATATTCGAAATGACATTTTGATCTTATACAGTATTGTATACAGGATCACTTCAACCTTCACACATTTTATAGTTAACACTCTGTACTTTTTAGATTAGGGCATGCCCTGTCCACTATAACTTTGGGCTCTCATATATGAGATAACCAATAAGCATTTTGAACACCTTCATGGTGCTATTGATGGACAGCCAACAGTTCTGTTTCTCTATCATTGCCTGCCTGTCTTCTCAGTAATTTGTATATTACTTGAATCCTTATTTTAAAAAATAGTAAAAAAAAATGCTAAAATTGTGATAAGGAGCTAATAATTATAATCCATTTGAGATAAGGAAATCATTAAATACATTTAATTAAATACTGCTCTATTTTCATGGACTAATGTAGGTTATTATAGGTACTCGTCAAGAGAATGAATGAAATTTTTTTTTCCAGTATTTTTTTTAATAACTTTTTTTATTGTTATGTTAACCACCATACATTACATCATTAGTTTTTGATGCCGTGTTCCATGATTCATTGTTTGTGCATAACACCCTGTGCTCCATGCAGAACATGCCCTCTTTAATACCCATCACCAGGCCAACCCATCCCCCCACCCTCCTCCCCTCTAGAACCCTCAGTTTGTTTATCAGAGTCCATCGTCTCTCATGGTTCGTCTCCCCCTCCGACTTACTCCCCTGAGAATGAATGAAATTTTTAAAATGATATAAAATTCATCTAGAATTTTTCCAATTATGTATAATTTCTGATGACTAAAATTTATATCCTCTGCCAGACATTTTCTGTGGTTCTGTGTTCACAAACTAATTGCTTACTGGATATTTCCATCCCAGTGTTTCAAAAGTCCCTCAGATTTAACATTTTCAAAAGTAAACTCATGATCTTATGTCCCTCTCTCCAGCTAACAAGGCAAATTAAAAAAAAAAAAATACATGAAGGAAAGAAAACAGTATTTTCTATCTCAGTAAATGGAATGTTATCAGTATAGTTCCTTAAAACAGAAAATGAAGCATTGTGTTTGCTACTCCTCTCCCTCAAACCCTATGTACGCTTTGATCAATATCATCAATTTTTTCTCCTTAATAAATACTAATTTTGTTTCTACCACTTCATCTCCACTATCACAACCCTATTCAAAGTTAATATTTTGTCCTTAGTTTCTAGAAAGGCCATTTTATTGATCTGTGCTTTTTTCTCAGTTCTTCTCCTACTGTTATATGATCGGTTTATTCTTATTCTTCAGCACTCAGAGAGTCTCCCCCAACCCCCAATTCAAGCTATCTAAATTGGTGAGTTCTAATCCTTCTTTCTCACTGCTCCATTGTATTTCCTTTAAAGCAATGATCATGATCTGCAATTGTGGTAGATTTTTCTTTAACACAACTATTAACATTTCCTTCCCTTACTGTATATTCATATTGCTCCTCTCAATAAAAAATGGAGTCTCTTCCTCTTCCCTTTGCATCTGGGCTGGCCTATGACTGGATTTGATAAATTGAATGCCACAGAGGTGACACTTTGCTGGTTTCAGGCCTAGCCTTTAAGAGGATTGATAGTTTCAACTTTCACTACATCATCATATAAAGAGTCAGAGTAGCTTGCTGGGGAGAAGGTCCAGCCAGCTCTCAGCTGCTCCAGTCACATAAGTGAGACAACAGTCATGCAGGTAAAGTCATTTTGGACATTCCAGCTCTCAGTCAAGCTCCCTAATGAATGTACCCCAATGAATGGCCACAGTCAACATGGTATGGAACAGAAGAATTACCTTGCTGAGACCAGCCAACCCACAAAATCTTGAGAAATAATATATTGTTGTTGTTTTAGATCAGTAAGTTCCAGAATGGTTTGCTTTGTGGAAAGGGATAATTGATACAAAATGTGGTCCTGGAAGTGGGCTGCTATCATAACAAAAGCCAAAATGTGGCTTTCTCCTTGGAATGGGTGGTAGGCAGAGGCTAGACGGGTTGCATGGAGACTCTTACTAGATGCTGGAAAAACAGTGAGGAAAACCACCATTGGATACAGAAAGAATGGCACAATTTTGGTAACAATGTCACCCAAAATAACATGATAGATGGGAAATGTACCGAGTAAGATTGTGAAGGTGGTTGAGAAAATTTCCTGAAAGAATGTTAGGTGTCATTTGCTTTAAGTATAATCACGTATGATAAGATATTGTAAGAAAATGGAGGTAAAAAAGAAACTCTTTAGTTTTCAAGCAGAACTTAAAGGAAATATAGAAGGTTCAGAACAGTCTCTCCAGCTGGCCAAAAAATGTCAGAGGAAAATGACCTCAGGGGGGAAAAAAATCAAATCCAGGGTGCTATAAAATATGACCTCAAGGTCAAAGGGTAGGATCTAATCAAGGATGCAGCTGTAAGATCCTTTGTTAAGACCTCAGAAAAAGTTAAGGTGATGTCTTGTAGATGCTCCTCTTAGTCATGCAAAGGGCTTCTAAGAAGCTGAAGGGCATTCTTCCCAGAATTCTAAATTTCTCGAAGTAGAGATCTGTCTCCAAAGGAATCCAAAGGATATGAGTTTGAGGGCGTGAACCTGAATAACATTTATAGAAAGTCATCAATGTCAACTGTCAGCTTGGAGTAAAAGGGAAACAAGAGACTTCACAATGGAAACAAATGCCTCTTGGCCCCCAACCCAGCATAGTCAGAAATTAGGCTGAGAAAGCTACTCAGGGACAAACATGGGCCATTTATTCGGAAAACAGAAGATGACTCCTAGAGTCAGAGGGCAGAGATAAGAATTGAGAAAAACAATGGATTGGCTCATGAGAGCAGAACTGGACCCTAATCAAAAACATGCTCTGCCCTCTGAGTCAGGGGGCATGATAAAATGTGCTCAGATGGATTTCATAGTTTCAGTAGACCAGTGATTTCTACATGCTGTCCGTTACCACCCCAGCATCTTTTGACTGGGAGTGTCTGCTGCAGTTTTCCCATCCCTGCCTCATCATGGTATGTTGGGTGTTGAGCGGGAGATGACTTGTCTATCTAGGTCATAGGTCATCAGATGAGGAGGAGCTGTGCCTGAGGAGCCCCATCCACATCTAGACTTGATGTAGATGACAAGATCCAGAACTTAAAGCTGATGCTTTAAAGAGATGAAACTTTGGGGAGAGAAAGTGAAAATATTTTGTACAGGAGAGAGATGTGAATTCTTGAGGTAAGATTGTTTTCAGAAGATGGCTGCCAGGATTCCTCCCAACTGTTGACACATATTCTACTCCTCCAACAAAAGTAGAGTCTGTTCTCCCTTCTGTTGAAACTGGACTGCCGTTTGACTCATTTTAACCAAAAAAATGTACAAGAGTGACTGGGGCATTTATGAGCCCAGCCCTTAAGAGGCCTGGCAGCTTCTGCTTCCAGTTTCTTGGAGCCCTGAAGCACTATAGAAGAAGTTCACCTACTCTGACGGAGAGGAGGCCCATCCAGGTGCCAGCCCTCCAGCTAGCTCAGTTGAGACAATAGACATATAGGTGATACTATCTTGGATGTTCTAGCCCACTAAAGCCCTCAGCTAAATGCAGACATAGGAGTAACTCCAACAAAACCACACGAAGCAGAAAAGTCACCCAGCTGAGCCAAATCAAAACAAAGAATTTCAAGAAATAACAATTTGTTATCTCAAGCCACAAAGATCTTGAAAATTTTTAAGCAAAAATAGATAACTGATAGAGAAATTGTTTCTTTTCTTTCTTTGGTTACCTGTTATTTAAGAAAAAAATTTCCAAGATATTATGATATAAATTGTCATAAAGGTAAAATATTAATTTATATTCCTGTATATTAGGATACTTAGTGGCATAAACAAAAACTACTTATGACTAAATTAAGCAGAAAGAAATGTATAAATAGATATTATGTAGCTCTCAAAACTTTCAGAAGAGCCAGATAACTAGGCTTAGAGAATATACAACATAAAACAGTAATAATGTGATATTTATTTTATGCATATTTATATTCTAGGTACTTGATATTTTCTGATATTACTGGAAATACTGTCTTATTAGTTACTTTTTCTAGTGGTTTGCTTTTGGTATAAAACACAGAAGTGACTTTTGTATATTAATCTTCTATCTATCCATATTGCTAAATTTCTCCATTACTGAAACATTTTTTTGTGGTGTTTTAGGGGTTTCTATGTAAATAATAGTTTCAAATTAAGATAGTTATTTCCTCCTTTCCAATCCTCCTGTGTACAATTTATTTTATTTTCTTATTGTACTTGATGAGACATCAAATATAACATTAGCAAAAAAAGTGGTGATTATATCTTTTCTTTCTCATTTCAAAGAAAACTTTTCTAATATTTTGTCATTAAGGACATCCTTTTTTATTTTAAAGATATTCCTTATTGGGTTAAGGATATTCTCTTCTATTCCTCAAATACCATGAACTGTGTTTCTTAACTGTGAAAAGATATTTTTTATAACCATTTTCTCTGCATCTGAGATGACTCTGTATATATTTTTTTTACTTTTAATTTGTTGATGTGGTAAATTACATTAATACTTTGGAGTTATGGTTATTTTGACTTTGTAGTATTAGCTGGATACTATTCCCTTCTTCTAATATCTTCGAAAGACATTGTATAAAAAACGGGATAATTTGTTGCTTGAAAGTGTGATAGAAGATACTGTAAAATCATTTAGAACTGGTGGACTTAAATTTTTGTTTGGTGTCTGTGTGTGTTTTGTTTTTGTTTTGTTTTGAGAGATTTTAAATTATGGCTTCAATTTCTTTAATAGTCATAGGACTATACGGGCTTTATGTTTCCTTTAGAGTGAGTTCTGATAGGATATATTTTTAGTAATTTGTTTTGTCTGAATCTTAAAAGTTGTCGCATTTGGTTATCTGTAGTATTCTTCCACTCTTATTTTTATCTCTACTTTTCCTGTAGGTATTTTGTCTTCTTCATTCAGTATAATGAATTCAATTCCCTATATTTTTGTCTTCTCTCTCTCCCCATCGATTTTACTACAGCTTTACTTATTGTATTAGTTTCTTATTGTTTGTTTGTTTGTTTTTTTCAAAAATCCAACTTTTGGTTTTGTTGATCTTTGTTTCATAATTTCTTTTCTATTTCAGTCTTTGCACTCCTATTTTTATTGTTTCTTTCCTTCTTATTTCTTGGTTTTATTCCAATATTAATGTCCAAAGCTATAAATTTCTTCAAAAGCATTGCATTTGTTGTATCCAAAGACTTAGATGTTTAGTGTTTGCAACATGATTTATTTCTAAGAATTTTATAACTTCCGTTATAATTGCTTCTTAGTCCATGTGACTTTTAGCAGTCTATTTTTTTAAGAAATGAAGAATTTTTTTGTTTTTAACTTCTAACTTAAAATGTATTGTGATAAGAGATCATAATACGTATGACAACTTTTTTTTGTAGTATGTTGAGGTTTTCTTTATTGTCAAGTAATTTATCAGTTTGATAAATATTTGTGTGTTCTCAAAAAAAAAAATTAGGAGTATTCACAATAGCCAAGGTATAGAAACAACCTAATTTAAGTATCTATTGATGTATGAACATATAAAAATATATATATATACACACATACAGTGTATACATGTATATACATACGTATGTATACATATACATATGTGTACATGCATATATACACATACATATGTATATACATATATATACACACACACACACAGAGTGGAATATTATTCAGCCTTAAAAAAGGAAATCCTGTTATTTATGACAACATGGATGAATCTGGAGGGCATTATGCTAAGTGAAATAAGCCAGACAAATACAAAAATACAAATACAAAAAAAAAAAGTCAAACTCATAGAAGCAGAAAGTAGAAAGGTGGTTGCCCAAAGCTGGGATGCAAGGGGAGGACATAGAAAGGGGTTGGTAAAAGGGTACAAATTTCCAGTTTTAAGATGAATAATTTCTGAGGATCTAATGTATAACATAGTAATTAAAACTAGTAACATTATATTGTGTAATTAAAATTTGCTAAGTGAGTAGAACTTAAATGTTCTTACCCTGAAAAAAAGGTAACCATGTGAAGTGATGGATGTGTAAATAAAGTTAATGGGAAGAAGCCTTTCACAATATACATATATACACATACCAAATTATCACATGATACATTTTATATAGCTCTCAATTTTATTTGTCAATTATACCTCAATAAAGGGTAAAAAGAAAAAAAAGGACTTAGAAACATCAAACTTGACAATTTTTTTTCTGTTTAATCAATCAATAATTGAGAGAGATATGTTGAAATCTCTCATTACAGTGACAATTCATCAATTTATCTCTAGTTTTGTCAATTTTTCTTTATATATTTAGAAGCTATTTCATTAAATTCATCATTGTTTTAAAATGCCATTGTTTAAAATGTCTTTTTGAATGATTGAAATGTTTTTGTTTTAGCATCCTTAGTAATTCCTTTTTTTAAAATTTTTGGACATCAATGTGATTTGCATTTTTTCATATCATAGTGATTGACTAGGTCTGAGCTTCAGTCCCATGCCTGGAATAAGGCTAGTATGGATAAGTAAGGGAGGATGGATGTTTTCCTAATGGAAATTAGGAGTTCTGTTAAAGATGCTAAATAAATATAACAATCTCTACACCATATTCAGGCATCTTTTTACATCTTTGGTACTACATTCTTTGCCCAGGGTCCCTCCTTCCTTGGAATTAGAAACCATATTTAAGTGCAACATGGCCTATACAACTTTTATTTCTGGATCTGCACTTAAGTGGGATGATCTGAGGCGGGTTGCGGTAAGAACTGGTTCTTTTTCTTCTTCTAGTTTCCCTAAGCTGCAACAATTAAGATCATAAGATGTATTGCTGTTTTAAAAGTATTACTCCAGATACTTAAATTGGAGAAAAATAAGACTTCCTCAATTTTAAAAACTGATCATAAAGGAAATATAGTAATTGGTCTCTAAATCCTCCTTGACAGATATCAAGCAGAACTCACTGTTTACATACACTTACATTTATTTATTTCACTAGATTCTCTATCTAATGCAGTTTTATTTTATCAGTCTAAAAAATCTGAAAAAGTTATGGACAGCAAAAGTGTGTTTAATCTTACCATCCAAGTAGGATCATTACCAGATGACAGATTTCCCAACTTTTTCTAAACACACTAATATGCCTTCTGATAGGAGAAACATTAAGGAAAATAGCAGAAATTCCTTTAAGGCTGGGAAGAAAAATAATGAGCAAAATCTAACCATCTAGACAGCTTTCAATTAAGATCAAAGCCAGCTTCCCCCCATGTTTTAGGTTTTACAGAATCATATAAACCTAGGGCTTCAGTTTTTAGAATCAGAGATCTATAAAGTCAACATAAAGAATTGAAATAGAAAATGACAGACTCAGAATCAAGCTTTCTCTTTCCCACAAGTCGGTATTACAAGAGCCACTTCAATAATTTTCTAGACCCTTAAGATTCAGAATCCACAAATATTGAATGCTTACTTTGGCCCAAACATACTTCCAGTTCCCCCATTCTTTGCTGTCCTGAACACATAAATATACAGGCAGTTGCTTAAAAACTTGATTTTGGACAATAGGAAAAATATAAGTATGCACTTTCCCCATTTTAAAGCAGTCTTGCAACTTTGTTAGAGACCGTTACAGCATCTACCGGACTCTGATCCTGATGTAAAGACATCCTCATCACAACACCTTCCCAAGAGTGTTCTCTTTCTTATGGGAAATTTTATTATAAAACCATAGGAAAAACCACAGGGGGCACAGTAGAGCATTCCCCATGAAATTAACAAGGTGGCTGCTGTTTAATCTTGAAGAATAGGTGGAATCTGCAGAAGCATGCCTGATTATAGCCAACCCTTTGTGCAGTGATTCCCATGCTGAAGACACTTCAAACATTATGAGGTAAGAACCTGAGAACCTGGTACTTTGTTTTATATGCTTCAATGCTGGTTTTATTTCTACCTCTTTTAAAATAAAGCCTAGTGCTGTGGACTAAAGAGGAGAAGATATCATCTGTCACAGCACTGGGTTCATCCTATTCAAGGTTTCTGCCTTTTTTTTTTTTCTCCCAGAGGCTATGAAGATGTAGGAATAAGGAAGTAAAAAATAGAGTATTCTGAGTATCTCTGTGCTTCTCCACATACTTTCCTAAAGTTTCTTATGGATACTAACTATTTAAATTGAAAAGGCAAGCATACAAATAACTAATACCTGTTCAGATAACACCATTATAAATAACATCTTTAACCCACAAAAAATAAAGATGCCATTTGTGATTGGTGAGCCCTGTTTGTAGACTTTACTTATTGGGGTTTTTCCCCCAGTAGTTCTGCTGAAATATTGTGTATCATTTGGTATAATGTGCTTGTGATTATTGGAAAGTATCTTCAAGATGACTAGAGTTGGGTTAACTGCCTTTAACTATGAGCTGTCTATGAGCAGGAGCTTGACTTGTAGTAATGGCTTCAAACTATCATTGTGATGGCAATGGTATTGTGCCTAACCCAGATGAACTCCTGGTCCCCAGAGCATAGTGAACATACATAGCTGAAGGTGATTCTACAAATAGCAAGAAACAGTTGAGAATGTATGCTCTGCATAATACAGTGCATATGAGATAGACCTTAGTTTCTTAATATGTATAATGAGAAAGTTGAATAAGATAGTCTATGAGCTGCTTCATGTTATGGACAGAAATTCAATCTCTTGTTTGTTTTTTTTTCCTGTAATTACTGTGTTTGAGTTTGAAGGCTAAAATACATGAAACTGTCTATTTCCTCCTCAAGAATTGGTTCCAGAAGACCACAGTCTCCTAGTACCAAGAGCTAACCTTTTCCTAAATTTCATTTACTAACTCACTAAAACAATAGCACTGTTTACTGTGTATGTTATTAAACAGAACATTTTTAGAAAACAACATAACAGTGAATTTTATGTATTGTTTTATTATGTTTATCCACATATCAGTTTAATTCTGAAATTAATTATATTGCAAAGCCATTGAATATGGCACATCACTGATGAGCATATTTGTTATTTATGTAGGGTTCTCTCTATCAAGAACTATAACCCTAATACCAGAATCATCATACAGATACTTCAATCCCATAACAAGGTATGGTAACATTCTAGTCTATCTATTATCTTCTTCTTTTGGTCTATGGAGTTAAATGACTTATTTCATCTAAGTAGTAAAACTTATTAATTTCTATAATTAATAGACCTATAGATCTACACTCAAAAAGTTTTTCCAATTACAGGTGAAATTTGGAGTCTCATTAAGATTGTTAATCACTTAGGGGAACCTGGGTGGCTCATTTGGTTGAGCGTCAAACTCTTGGTTTCTGCTCAGGTCATGATCTCAGGGTCCTAGGATTGAGGCCCGCATCAGGCTCCATGCCCAGCGGGGAGTCTGCTTAAGGATTCTCTCCCTCCCCCCTTATCCCTCCCCCTGCTCATGTTCTCTCTCTTGAATAAATAAATCTTTTAAAAAATTATTAATCACTTAAAAATGTAAATTCATAAAGAAGTATAGTTTCATACTTTAACAGCTGCTGCCTGAGAGTCTAACTTCCAGTCCACCTGAATCTAGGTGCTGAGATCCTTTCCTTCGGGACATTGACAGCTCTGGGCATACCCTCAACTACTGGGAGCCCCTAAAAATGAATTAGGCTGATTAGACAATTACAAAGGTTTGAGAGACAACCAGAAGCTATGTCATGGTTGAACAATAAGGTTCAACTCCTACAGAAGGCCATTTCTTCAAAACTGAGTGAGGTGGCTGTTTTATCTAATGCAGAATTTCAGGGGAAATGAAGAAAGAGAGGAATATATTCTAAATGAAAGAATAAGATAAGACCTCAGAAAAAGACCTTAATGAGACAGAGATGAATGACTTACCTAATAGAGAGTTCAAAACAGTCATAAAGATGCTCACTGAGCTAGGGCGAAGAATGGATGAAGGAAGTGAAAACTTCACAAAGAGATGGAATATATAAGAAAGTACCAAATAGAAATCACAGAGCTGAGGAATTTAATAACTGAATCAAAAAATACAATAGAGGGGTTCAACAGCAGACTAGATGACACAGAAGAATCAGCAAACTTGAAGACAGGGTAGTGGGACACACCTAATTAGAGTAGCAAAAAGAAAAAAGAATGAAATGAGTGGAGATAGCTTAAGGGACAATGTCAATTGCATTATAGGGGTCCCAGAAGGAGAAAACAAAGGGGCAGAAAACATGTGAAGAAATAGTGACTGAATACTTCCCTAACCTGGGGAAGAACACAGACATTCACATCCAGGAAGCAGAATTCCAAATAAGATAAAGTAAAGAGACCCACACTAAGACTCATAATCAAAGCATCAAAAGCTAAAGACAAAGAATCTTAAAGTCAGCAAGAGAAAAACAACTTGTAAAGTATAAGGGAACCACCATGGGGTACCTGGGTGGCTCAGTTGGTTAAGCATCTTCCTTGGCTCAGGTCCTAATCCTGGGGTCCTGGGGTGATAGTCCTTAGGCTCTCTGCTCAGCAGGGAGCCTGCTTCTCCCTCTCCCTCTGCCTGCTGCTTCCCCAGCTTGTGCTCTCTCTATCAGACAAATAAATGAAATCTTAAAAAAAGGGGGGGGGGACCACCATGAGACTACTTAGCAGATTTTTTAGCAAAAACTTCACAGACCAGAAGGAAATGACCCAATCTATTCAAAGTACTGAAAGAAATTTAAAAAAGACTGCCAACCCTGAGTAGTCTTATCTGGCATTGTTGTCATGCAGAATTAAAGAAGAGAGTTTTCCATACAAGCAAAATCTAGAGTTCATCATGACTAGGACTACTTCACAAGAAATGTTAGAGAAACTTCTTAAAACTGAAAGGAAAGGGCATCAATTACTAACAGGAAAAGATATGAAAGTGTACATCTCAATGGCAAAGGCAAATGCGTCATAAAATTCAGAATAATCTAATGTTGTAAAGGTGGATTAATCACTCATGAAGCTAGTATGAAGGTTAAAAGAAAAAAGTAGTAAAAGTAACTATAACCGTGATTCCTAGGGCTACACAAGGCCAGAAGCTGTAGATTGTGATATCAAAAATAAAATGTGGGAGGGGGGATAAAAATGTAGTTTTTTGTTTGTTTTTTTTTAATAATTTTTTATTGTTATGTTAACCACCATACATTACATCATTAGTTTTTGATGTAGTGT